TGCACCAGCAGCAGAGTCTACATCAAAGCGAGGGGGAGGGAGAAGCAAAGGGCGCCGCTGTGCCTTTACAAAGGGGCCCCCTTCAGATGCATCAGTGGGGGGCCCCCCTTGTGGGGCCCCCTCCCGGGGTTTGTTGTCTTTGTCGCTGCTAGACAACGGAACAAACTCCGCAGACTGTTGCTGCTGCTGCTGGTGATGCTGCTGCTGCTGATGCTGCTGCTGGGGTGGTGTATTCTCTGCAGCGTTAGGGGGCCCTTCTGGCTGTGTTGTTTGGGGGGCCCCCGTGTGTGTGGTTCTTTCACGACATACAGGGGCCCCCCCCTTCTGCATCATCATCTGCTGCAGCAGCTCCCCCCGCTTAACTACTGCATGCAATGCATGCATTATCTCTTCTGTGGGGCCCTCAAGGGGACAGGGGCCCCCATATTTGCCGTTAAGGGCCCCCCAAGGGTCTGAGAGGGCCCCCATAGGAATACGAACGCCACCCTCCCACCCCGGTACCCTGTGGGGGCCCCCACGCCGAGGCCCAGGGCCCCTGAAGGGGGCCCCCTGGGGATGGGGGCCCCCATGGGGCCCCCCACGGGGGGGCCCCCGACCTCCTCTTCTCCCCTGTTGACCCCGTCGTGCACTGCCTAACGGGCAGAAAGGAGCCTGGGGGCCCCCATGTCGCTGCTGCTGCAGCTGCTGCTGTTGCTGCTGGTGTTGCTGCTGATGATGATGATGCTGCTGCATGGCGAGATTGCTGTCGGGGGCCTCAGGTTCAGGCTGCTGCTGCAGCAAGAGGCCCCCGATGTGCTGCTGCTCTGCTGCAGTTGCAAGGGCCCCACAGCAGCAGAGACCGCTCCAGAGAACTCAGAGCTGCTAGAAAAGATGGAATTCGCCAGGTATTCTGAGGCTCACTGCTGCTGCTGTTGTTGCTGCAGCTGTTGCTGCTGCTGTTGCTGCTGCTGCTGCTGCTGCTCCTGCGCGGCTTTGTCGGGGGCACGTCTGGGAGGTCTTTGGGGTTAATTCGAATTAAAATATGAATAAGACATTTAAAAAAAGAGTAAATCCCCGAGGAAAGTCTCAACATCTTGTATGCTGCCCCGGGGGCCCCAACCGCTGACAGCAGTGAACCACAGCAGCAGCAGCAGCAGCAGCAGCAGCAGCATGCTGATAACGAGGAGCCACAACAGCAGCAGTAGCAGCAGCTGAGAGGGATAATAAGCAGTTTAACGAGGCTGCTGTGAGGCTAATTTCTAAATGGACGTTTGAGGGTTTAGGGTTTAGGGTTTAGGGTTTAGGGTTTAGGGTCTAGCAGCATCTCGCGGGAGGCCCTAGAGCTCTACTGCTGCAGCGGCCAGAGGCTTGCACGGGCCCAGGGTAGAGGGTTCTCATTGCAGGTCCGGGGTTCTTATCTCTTTTTTCTAGGAACAGCAGCAAACGAGCAGCAGCAGCAGCAGCAGCAGCGGGAGCAAGATCAGCTGCCGCTCCCGGTCTCACCTAGGGCGCTTGACGAGTTGCTGCTCCTCACCCCTAGAGCAGCAGCAGCAGCAGCAGAAACAGCAGCAGCAGCAGCAGCATATCCAGCATCAGCCTTGGGGACGGCATCTTCTTTCACTGCCTCAACACAGGCAGAAACAGCCGCCTCCACAACAGCAGGAACAACAGCAACAGCAGCAGAAGCAGCAGTAGCAGCAGCAGCAGGGGAACGACCGTAAGGGGGGCCCTTATGGGCGGGCTCTTCGATGAGTAGTCAGAGTGGGGGCCCCCCGCTGGGGGCCTCATCAATAGGTGCTGGTTTGGGTACTGGAGCAGCAGCAGGAGGAGCAGCAGGGGGCCCCCCGGGGCCCCCGGGGCCCCCGGGGCCCCCCGGAGAGGAGGGTCCTGTTGAGCGTAGCAGCATTAATAGAGAGTTTAATTCAGCAACTCGTAAATCGATGAAGCGCAGCAAAGGGCATAACACAAAATATAAAGTACGTAAGCATGCACCCTCAACATCGGCAGCAGCAGGTGGAGGCCCCTGGGGAAGCCCTGGCGATCCAAGGTATATGAATAGCACGCCTCAGGGAGCAGCAGCAGCAGCAGCAGCTCTTGAGGAAACAGCAGCAGCAGCTGCTGCTGCAGCAGGCAACACTACTCGTCGCTCTCACAGTAGGCGAAGGGCCCGCTCGCAACAACAACAAAGCTCTGAAGATATAAATGCAGATTCTGTTCGCAAACATCCCACCAAAGCACTCATAGGCAAACTAGGAATGGCAGCAGGCTCCGGTAAGTATATTTTTATATATATTTATATATATACTTTGTATATATAGATGCACTGATCCCGCAGCAGCAGCAGCAGCAGCAGCAGCAGCAGCAGCAGCAGCAACGGCAGCAGCAGCAGGGTGTCTGTGAAATGTTTTGTTTTTTGTGTAGTTGATGCGCATGCATGCACTGCTGCCATTTGTCGGGCTTGTTTTATTTATTTCTACTATATATAGATGTATAAGTATATATATATTTATTTATATACACATCCCTATATGCATGCATATATATATATATATGTATATGAATAGATATATGTATATAATATATAATATATAATACACAATATATATATATATATACATCCCTCCACATAGATGCATTTAGATACATGTGCACATTATATATATAATATAATATATATATATACATTGTTGTTTTCATATACAATTGATGTGTACGTACAGCAGGTGCAGGGGGCCGCACAGCATTAATGGAGCAGAAGAGAAAGCTGTACAAAGACACATCTCAGCAGCCGCTGTGGGGCGTGCGCAAACTAACAATAAATCCTATTGACAAAGACGACTTGAGGCGTTTCCCTCCGAACTCTGTACACACCAATAAATATACTGTACGTACACCCTAATCAACTCCTCTATATTATATATATGTATAATATATATATATATATATGTATGTATATATATGTATATATATATATGTATATGTATGATGCATCACGCTTAATAGATTATGTACTGGAATGTATTATTTTTAAAATTATAATATATATATTTATATATATTTATATATATATATTTATATATATTTATATGCGGCATTTATTGTATAGGGTTAACGCAATATATAATATATATATTGTTGATTATAACCTATATATTTATATAACCCCAAATTAGATAAACAAACAAATAAATAAATAAACAATTAATTAATTAATTAATTAATTAATTAAACAATTAAATTAAATTAGATTTGTTTGTTTGTTTGTTTGTTTGTTTGTTTGTGGTTGCTTAGTTTCTGTCTTTCTTACCGAAGGCACTGTGGCGAGAGTTTCACCGGCTGCCCAACTGGTGTTTAGTTTTGTCTTTGATTTTGGAGTTCATCCCCCTCCCCAAATTCCCGGGACAGGCCCCTTGGAGTGCACTGCTCCCTCTTGTACTCAGTATGATACACCTCCTGATGCTAACGCTCCTGCTGCTGCTAAAGCTGCTGCTGCTGCTAAAGCTGCTGTTGCTGCTAAAGCTGCTGTTGATTGTGTTGGTGGAGCTGCTAAAGCTGCTGCTGCTGCTAAAGCTGCTGTTGCTTGTGTTGGTGGAGCTGGTAAAGCTGCTGCTGCTGCTGCTGCTCCTTCTGTTGGTTTAGCTGCTTCTGCTGGGGTAGCTGGTGCTGGTTTAGGTGTTGCTGTTGCTGCTGCTGCTTACGGTCTTGCTGCTTATATATATATATATATATATATATCAATCTCTGTCTCTCTCTCTCTCTGTGTTCATTCACATTACATATATTAATATATATATTAATGTATATATATATATGTATATATATTTGTGTATGTTGATGAATGCAGCACTGGGGGTGTGTTTATTAAAAGAATTGTTATTGGACTTACAGCGTCGAGCGACAGACAGACTGCGGAACTTGCGAGTTTGTGCTATAATAGACGGGCGAAGACCTCAGCTAAGATTTGTATCGTGGGAGTCTCTTCGTGTTGGGAACATTGTACGATTAGTAGATGAAGAAGAAGTCCCAGCAGATTTAGTTTTACTTGCAAGCTCAAATCCAGAAGGGGCAGCATATGTAGAGACAGCAAAGCTGGATGGAGAGACAACATTAAAATTAAAACAAGGGGTTAAAGAAACAAGAACAGAGACATATCCGCTTGCTATAGCAAGTATTAGAGGACGTGTTGTATGCGAGAAGCCTAATGCTCATACAGATAGATTCTCAGGCAGTCTCAAGCTTGATGCACATCCTAGAGCAACATCTCTTGGAGTTATTAACTTTATACAGAGGGGTACACAGCTAAGAAATACTGAATGGGCATACGGTGTAGTCGTTTATACCGGTCATGATACATGCGGTCTTCAATCCACGCGATATCTACGAAGCAAACATCCTCATATTGAAACTGAAGCCAATGCTTATACTATTGTCTCCTTCTTCGTTCTTGCTCTTCTTATCCTCATCGCCGTCATGAGCAAATCTAGCGTACAGGTATTTCATACACACAACACAGGATTTCCAGGGTTTAGGGTTTAGGGTTTAGGGTTTAGGGTTTAGGGTTAAGGGTTTAGGGTTTAGGGTTTACGATTCCCTCTAAATAGAGCCATTTAGCAGATATTCACCTTTCCTTTTGTCTTATGCATGGATTGACGTCTTACTATTATTATTAATTATTATTAATTATTATTATTGTTATTTTTATTATTAATTATTATTATTATCATATACAAATAACAAATCTATGACTACAAACGCTACATATGTATATACATATGCATATAATATATATATATATATATATATATATATATATATATATATACAGCCTAGCATGTTTCTGTTTGTGTATTGGTTGTACCATCTGTTAATAGATAAATAAACAAGAAGATAAACAAGTAAATGAGTAGAAGAATTAATAAATAAATATATATATAATTAATTAATTTGTTTATAGGATCGTGAGCGTATTAACATGGGTCGTGAAGACTTCCCGAGCTCAACAGCATTTTTATTGGGGGGTA